ATTCTATATATGGGTCCATTATTGTTTCTAAAATTCGATTATGATTACGGCATCCCTCTTCATAATCTGAATTATGAGAACTTGGCAAATAGAAATAGAAATATTATAGCAAAAGACTGGTCTAGTATCATTTCTTTATGAATCGTGTCCCATATGCTTCGGATATAGGATCGATTGCATGTGCTATAATATTCATCTGTTCTAAATTTTTCCAAATGCCCAGAGCATTAAGAGGGAAAAAGTACTAGAACTAGATATGACTAATTTGATTAAGCAATTGTCGAGGACAATCTAAGGTTTACCAAAGATTGGTTGCTCAGGGACAGTTGGAAGTATATTGTTAAATTTTGGAAGGACCAAATTGACATATTCTAAAAAGAGGCAACTCTTGTTCAGAAGTGATAGTCAAAATGAGAATATGGAAATATTCCCATAGGTGGAAATTATTCATTAAATCTGTGTAAGAGTAGGAAACTTTATGCAAGAAGGATGTTCAAAGCAATATACTTTGAATATGAGACTTCGGTTCCATGGAGTTGATCTCTATTGGAGTACTCTGTAATGTCTGTTGACAAGTCTTTGTGACTTTGTGCATAATCATTACAAGAGGACCAATGCATATAAGTTTAGAGTCTAACAGATTTAAGTAAATGGCATGAATCTGGGATTCGTGCATTTGTAGTAAGGATTTGGGATTGTGAAATGAGAATCATTGGAAGTATGTTCAATCGATCTATTTCACAGAGTATAGATCATAGACAAACTTAGTGTGTATACTTGATGTATTGCATAACTAATGTTTAGACAAACATAGTGTGCATACTTGGTGTATGGCATGACTAGTGTTTAGAAAACATAGTGTACATGCTCGGAGCATGGGGACAACTATTGTTTTTATTCAAGTATAAAGTTGATAGTTTGAAACAATATACAATGAATAATGTGAAATCAATATGATGATAAATAAAAGGTGTTTTATTTATATTCATAAGTTTTGAGACCATAGTTGATTTGATTATTCTTGTGTTTCACTTTGCATGTTTTGACTTCCAGAATAACTAAGTCGCTATTCCTGAATGACTAAGTTATTCAAACCATCCACAGTCGGTCATATGTTGGAAGTAGATATGAATCAAGACTGTCATGAGTTGGATTGTAGAGGTCTAAGATGTTGGACAAAGTGGTGCTACAACACTCATGAGTGCTCATAAGTTCTGAATATTGGATTCAACCCACGCTCACTGGTATCACTTCATGGAATTTTTATCTCGAGTGATCGTGAGACGGTAATATCATATAAGTCTTCAAACCTAGAGATATGACTTGTTGCCTATGAATTGGTTATACATTGATCGTACGAAACCTCATTGGTAACTCGATGTTATAAAACGTGCCTTTGTGTATGATTCAACAAGTAGTTGAACAAGCATATGAGTCGAAGTTTATCTGTTTCTTCTTGGATTAGAAGCGAAATCTGGGCCCCTCGATGATTTTGTGTTGACCCATGTATCGGGCCTGGTCAGAACTAAGTTGATCTGTTCACTTAAGTTCTATGTCAAACAAATCGGGAATCGGGAAACAAACTGTTGGACAATAAGTAAGACATTGTTCCATGTATTTGTCCGGCTGATATCTAGAACAGAGGATTATATGATCACTTATCTTAAATGGAATATCATCGTCATCTCAGTTCCGCGAGACCTTGAAAAGAGCTACGATTGCTGGTCGGTTCCTGAAGACATACTTGCAGTTATAGTTATTAGACTTATCCAAGTGGGAGACTGTTGGATTAGGTGTCTAAGTTCATAACTATTTCTGGGTTGTACTTGACCCGACCCGGCATGGTCCATTTGGGTTGCATGACATCATGCAATTGGATAAACTAAAATGAGAGAAATAACACTTATGGTCTATTAATATATTATAAGTTCTAATATATTAATAATATTATTTGATTAGTATTGATCAAGAATTAATCTAGTATTAATTAAGTGATCAAAAGATGACTAATTAAATATATGGGTTGATTATGTAAATCGTCCATAACTTGTATACTGGGCTAAAGGCTCCATGGGTTATCAAGTTGGGCTAAGGTGCATAGGATACTCCATGGGATTTACAAACCCATGGGTCATGGAAATGAAGAGCCATGTTACATTAGGGTTTACATGGTGTAACCCTAATTGTAACACACTATATATAGGATATGAAGTTCACCAAAATCGGCACTAGTGTAAGAAACTAGAGGACTAGAAGCAAGAGAGGGCTAGCCGATTTCTAAGTATGACATTCTCTCTCAAAGTTTATTCCAAGTGCATTTGGTGTTGTGTGATTTCCATTTGAGGCATCCACATTATTGGTGCTAGGCTCTCAAGGTTTTCAAGGAATCAAATCAACCACAAGGTATGTAATCCTAGCCATCTTTTATGATTAAAGTTCCCCATGTATGCTAGATAGGATTATGAACCTTGGAAAAAGTATTTTGCATGTATCTTAGTCAAACATAGATCCAAGGTTTCTAGGGTTGCATGAACACCTTAGGAGTGTTAGAATGCTCAAAACCCTTCAAGTTTCCCCAAAATACCACATCGCATACATAAGATAGGGAATGCTATGGGCCATACCATAGTGTTATTGTCACTATCAGCCATGAGCCAAATCATGGTCTTTCCTTGCCATGTTACATGCCTAACCCTGGTTTGACATACAAGTGCCAGGAGCCACATCCTGTCTTCCATGCAAGCATCACAAAGACCACTAGTGTCCTACATATAACTGCCAGGGGACAAACCCTGGTCTTGCATACAATTTCCAAAAGCCACATCTTGGTCTTTCATATAATTGCAAGGGGCTAAACCCTTATCTTTCATACATATGCCAAGGGCCTCATCCTAGTCTTCCATACAAGTATCACAAAGACAACCAGCATCCTACATAGTATAATAAGAACACTCACGTTGCCAACGCAATCAACAATTAATAGCTCTCACAGCCAACAAACTGATGCTATACACCTCCTAATCAGCCACACAAGGTAAACCCTTAGTCTACCTTCTAAAATTAGAAATTTTCATTTGATGCCATGCAAGGTCATGGGCTCATTTTTGGTCCCTTTTTGACCTAGACTTGTACATCTATGTACTAAGGGCATCCAAATGGATAAAATTTGGAACTTTATCCGTTAAGCCGGATTTCACGAAGCGAGACTTAGAGTGTCACAATACAATTTTGGAAGTGATTCTGACTTTTTGTCGTTTAGTGGATCACAGTGTGACTGGTCAAGGTTCACGACGTGATTGACCGTTGGCCGTTGAATTTTTGGCTTTTTGACCATTTTGAAATTTGGTTCAAAATTGGAGGTTTTGAGCTTTAGACTGAGATTTAGCCTGTTTTTGGTTTACGCGATTCATGTAACTGATTCCTTGGGCTTCAGTCTGTCGGATTCAACTTTGGGTTTCAGGTAGTCTTCTCACTATACTATAGGACATTGAGTGTTAGGTTAAGCTTGTTGTCTTTGTGAATCTTGTTTGTATACCAGTATATATTTGTTGGGCTGGGCTCGATTATATCTTTGTTGAGTTGGACCTGCTTATATGTATGTTGAATTGGTGTTGTTGGGTTGGGCCCGCTTATATGCTGATTGGGTTGGACCCGTTATTGGATGGTATGTGGTACTTTGGGGAACTCACTAAGCTTCATACTTACGGTTTTAAGATTGTTTCAGGTGCTTCCAGTAGCATAGGGAACGGAGCGGCGTGATTATACAACATCTGCTTTTATGTTTTAGAGATCTTCAACCCTCTTGATTTTATAACTCTGACTTGATGATGTTGAAACAAATGCTTGACTACTCTTTTGGGAATTAAATTAATTCAATTTTAGTTTAAATTTCAAATGAAAAATTTACGTTTAAATTGGGACCTTACAAGAAAGGTGTACTCCCCATATCCTTAGAACTCCAACTTTCATTTTCATCGACTTTATGATAATATAATATAATATAATATAATATAATAATCGAATATAAAAGAATAAAATATTAAACGGCCATAATCAAAGGTTCATGAACGTAAATTAACGAACAATGATGTCGTTAATGTTAGTTCATTTAACAAATGAATGAAAATCTTGTTCATGTCCGTTCTTTTTATAAATAAATAAAATATAAACAAATATTGGATTCATGCTTGGAAAATCTGCATAACTAAACTTTCACATTGATTTGTCAGACCTGCAAACAGTAAAAACACATTAATGAAGAGTCTTCAAATTTTACGATTTCCTTGATTTCTTCAATCTTCACTATTTTCTTTATACTCCAAACAATATCAGGGTGTTAAGCTGTTTCAAGATAAAATTGAGTCAGTCTTTCAAAACAGGGTTATTGACATAGAAGCACAATAATGTTTTCCATTTGGTTTTAAAAGGTCCTTCAGCTAATTTTCGTACCTCTGACCCCACTAAAGTGTCAAGTTACACCCTTTTAGAAGACAAGATCCGGTCACCCGGTAATTAAATGTGACGTGACCTTTAGACCTCCGATTTCTTCAATTAAATGACATGTCATTAATGAAACATTAACTTTGCCTTCGTATAACTGTTCAAAAAAGGGATTTGCACGAGTCGTTTATCAAAATCGTGTTGAAGTGCTCAAGATTCTAGGGTTTTTTTTCTCCAAGTTCAGTAAGTTTTCTCTCATCTAGGGTTCCTTTGTAGTATATTTTTTGGTATTCAGTTGAAAGTGCATGGCGAAAGAAAATGCAGATGCTATTTACTTGAAAGTGGATTTGCACTATATCAATGTTTTTACAAGACACCCACATAAATATACTGGAGGTGATACGTTCATGTTTACTGATCCTAATTTCTTTGGAATAGATTTACATTGGTGTTGTGAATTTCTAGAAAGGTTTGTCAAAAAACCTTTTGAGAAAATTTATTACTCATCACGTGATCAAACTATGGCAAATGGTCTTAGGGTAATAGCCAAAAATCAGATTATGCTTTTTTTTATCGATGATGTTTATCAAGCACCAGAAAGGCCAATAGACCTGTATTTAGATCATATTGAGGAAGGATTTGAGAACTGGTTGTATGAAGAAAGTGATGACAGTGGTTCAGCAATCCAGGGGGATGACAAAGAACGTTCACAAGGAACCCCTGATCCTGAACCATCCTATATGTTTGATGCTGGTTTGGGAGATGAAATCAATGAGGAAGTCTGTACCCCTCTAAACAAGACCAAGGACGATGAGTTTCTTAACAAGTTACGCCCTGAAGGTGGAGAAGAGAAAAAGGTTGAAGAAATGGATACTAGTGAGGAATTAGAAAATGATGTTCTTGAGCAACATCCTATCTTCAATCCTCAGGTACACTGGAAGAATCAAGTAACAACTTTAGGCCTGAGATTTGAGAATCCAAAACAGCTTAAGAGCATGTTCTGTAATTATGTCAGATATGCTCTTAACATGTATTTCAAGCAATATCAAATATTTAACACATAGATATATATATTTAATACTTTAATTAATACTTGTATTAAAATCGTGTTCGTGAAAGGTACTATGCAATCACTTGTTAAAGTGATGACTCGAAATTCGGGCAACGCTTCTCTTCTAGCAACTGTCTTTTCCATCGACGTAACCTAGTATTATTATCACTAAGTTTTAGTCTAATATTTATTGTGACTAATTATTAGTCTTGAGTTATCGTTCACTCAATGTCTACTTTCGTGATCTATCTAGTCATGAACAACCAGTAGGATCATATCGGAGGTAGGGTCCGTTTGGTATACGAAGTATACTGTTTGGAAATCCCACTTTAAACACCTCACTAAACCACAGCCTAGACATCATCCCCGTAAGTAGATCAATCAGTATAAAAAATTGGAATCACTGATAAATCTTGTTTATAGGTTCATTATAACGATAATGAACTTAAACATAAGTTATACTTAAAGTAGGGTAAGCGTAACTCACTTACAAGGGGGTTTAGCGAGGAACCGGGCTCTGCGCGGGCATATTTTCTGAGCCGAAAGCTCTTCTTCTCGGGGCCTTCTGGCGCTCTGGGACTCAGATCTAACACCTAAGAGGTGCTAGGGAAAAGGATAGCGGGTTTGGGGGTGTTTGGGAGATAATGGGTGAGAAAGGTGTGAGGAATTGAGTGATTTGCGCCTTTTATTTATAGGCTGTGAAGATGACGAATGTTGGGCGTTCCCTAGCCTTAATCTGAGCATCCGTGGCCACGTGTCACCATCTGATCGCAAGCCGTGGGGAAGAAGGTGCGGCCCAGATCGTGCCACATGTCACTCACTGGTTACTCCAAAAACTAATTATCTTCTAAAATCCGTAACTTTCGCATACGAGCTCCGTTTTTGACATTCTTTATATCCACGCGTAGGTAGCGATGTGATTACAAATTTCGTTTATACTCCACTGGCTAATTTTGAATTTATTTTTAAAGTTTTATTTTAACAGATTTAGATAGTTAAAGTCCGTTAAAATTCATAACTTTGTCATCTAATGTCCGTTTTCGACTGTCTTTATATCGTTGAGCTCGTATTAATGAGATCTTTAATTCTCGTTTAGGTTGTGTCGGCTAATAATCGATCGATCTAAAATTCGATTTTCGGGTTGTATATAATGCTATGCAAGATCTTAGAAATATCATAACTTCCTCAAACGAAGTCAGATTTGGACGTTCTCTATATGCACACTCTCAGTTTAATGTGTACTACGAATTTTTTTTAGATTGCTAAGGCTAAAAAGTAGCTTTTCACAAATTCACTTTATACGATACGCGACGTCGTGCTGGTTTAGTCGCAAAACTTCGACGGGTCAGAACTTCTTCGTTGAGTCGGATTTCAGCGTTCTTTATAGCGTTTTTTATATGTACGGAATCCTTGTGACATATACTATACTTTGGTTAAGATTATTTATTCTAAATAATATTCTATAGAAATTCATTTTTAACGCTTATTATCTCTAAATTGATTAGCCCGAATCTGTGGGCGTTACAATTATCTCCCCCCTTAGGATGATTACGTCCCAGAATCATCAATGAAACATGCCTTGTATGATGACTCCATACGTTATCTCTTCATCCTAGGTAATAATAGTAACTCTTATGTTCCTTCAAATGAGTATCTAACTCCTGGACTTCTTGGCTGCAGGCGATGCTCCATCTTGCACCCGCTCTTCATACTATGTTGGACTTTCAATCGTAACCTTCGAGTTACAAACTCCTTACTGGAGACTCCTGCTCCTTCTTGAACAGACTTAACTTCAGATAAGTTCTTTACTTCGATTACTGTAACAGACCGATGGGGCATGTTCTAATGACCTCTCGTCGTATGATGCATCGCTTAAACTCATGTCTTTTTTGAGTCAGATTCCAGAATGGTAGATACCTTCCTTTATGTTCTAATGTGATATAATCACATTCTAGCATGTAGCAATTCTAGCTACAAGCTTCTTACTTTAACTGTGACTTCGATACTTCTATTGATCGCTACGATTATCTTTTACTTCAATCTTCTGGCTTAAGTCAGATACTACATCGAACTTGGTTCACTGAACCACGTAACATACTCATCTTAGTCGGACTCTATTTGATATGACCACCAGGGTCGGAAAAACAATCATCTTCTTGGTCATTACCGAAATGATGGTAACAACAAACATGAACAAAACGGAATCAATTGCTAGCGCCTTGGTAACCATGCGACTTTCCCTGATCCAAGTGCGAGTCCAGTGCTTCCGGTAATATAGGCCTCTATTACCTTTCACACCTACTCATACTCGTCCCAAGTATTGCCTCTCAGTTCAGCAAGTCACCATACAATAATTTCACGTAGTCATTTTACACATCGGATAACATAACTAAGGTATATATTATTTCTTGAAATGATTACAAAGGTATACAAGTTCACTCTACACTATGCCTCTTATATTAGGCTACACCACATGATACTATCTATATGGCTAATTTATAGATCCTTACTCCTAATCCCTTGCATCGTCACATGCTTCATTAAGGATCATCTGGAATGCTCTTGCCTTTGGCTTCGGTGGTACGTTTGGCTTTATAGCTCCTTCCCTATTTGGGCGGTCTTGCTTGAAGTGTCCATCTTCACGATACTTAAAATAGACTTCTCTCTTGGTCGTGCATTCGTTGGCATAGTGACCAGTCTTCCCGCATTTGAAGCATGTCACCTCTTTAGAGCATCTCCGGATGTGTTTCCTTCTGCACTTGTCACACCACTTTTCTTCATTTCTATCCCCATACCTCTTGTTGTTGGGGTAAGACTTCGGGAACCTAATTTTCTTTTCGGATATTGAGGACAACTCACAATTCCTCTTCTCCCTTACCTGAGCTCTTTCTAGACCATTTTCCTTAAGTTGGGTCTCCACATTCTTGGCTGCTCTAACGGCTGCCTTCAAAGCAGTTTCCATTTTTACTGATGCACCAAAGTCTGCTGGAAATCCGTTAGCAAACCTATCTATCTTGGAGAGTTCAGTAGGTACCAAGTAGGGGAATAGCTTCATCTTCTCGATGAATGCGGTGACATACTCGTCAACACTCATCTTCCCTTTTTTCAGGTTCTGAAACTCGTTGTTTAGGTCTATCAGGTCTACCTCCGAGCAGTACTACATTTTCAACTGCTCCAGGAATGCTTCCCAAGACATCCTCATGGCTTCTCCCCGTGGCATTGTATCTGCCAACAACTTCTACAAACTTAAAAATCCGGTCTTTAGTTGTCTGTCTGTAAATACGGTTTTCTGCTTGTTGCTGCAATTGCAACTCTCAAATACCATTTCCATCTCGGAGATCCAATCCATGATCTCTACTGGATTTGGGCTTCCCAAAAAACTTGGTCGTTTGGCACCCAATAAGTTCTTATACATACGCCCATCCTTGTCAATCCCTCTGTCTGGGTTGTTCCTCCTGACCACTCGGGGTTCAACTTGACTCACAGTACGGTTGTAATTTCCCTCCTCCGACAGCTCTTCATTCAGTTCGGACTACACAACAGGCACAGTAGGTTCATACCTATTCTGTTAAAGTAGAAGCCTTGTCTCTTCCATCTGACGATCCAACATCATTTGTATCATTGCATATACTCCTGCCATTGTGATTGGCTCGGGTGCAGCTGCTACCTCTGGTGCTCGCTCAATCACTCGGGGCTTAGGCTGATGGTTACCATTTCCTAATCCGCTTCGAGTTCTCACCATGTCGATCTATACACCAAATCAGACATTCGATGTGCTGTGACGAGAATTAAGATAGGGAAAGCTTTATTTACGATAGACGTAAAAATCTCCTTATCCCGAAAAGTTACATGCCAGTTCTAATACCGTAATTAAACGTTTAGAATTCAGAACACATAAAATTCCAGATCCGGTCGGCAATAGACCATAGTACCGATCAAACGATAGCATCATAAAGCATATAATGCACCTTATAGCATAAATCATTTAGCACATAAAAGCAATTTAGGCATCTTTCCTAAATAAGCAAGTGCTCGTGTTTATTCAAGCATACATCATAAATATAGTAGACACTCATCTCACAATTATCGCTTAGCATTCTAAGTTTAAGTCTAGAAATTTCCTACCAATTCATAGTTCGCTTAAACTAATGCTCTGATACCAAATGTGCCATCCCCAAATTCACGGTCATTTTAAAAATTGTATTTATGCTTATTTTAAAATCAGAGTATCCTTTTTGAAGATTATTATTGCGGAATTTGTCCCCAAAAATATGATATATATATTATCAAAGTATTTTCGAAGAAATGTATTTTATTTATATTAAAACATTGTGATGTCATCTTCAATACATAAACATAAGCATAAACAGACCTTACATTCATTTACACTAATGATTTACATCTCATTTAATCTCTCAGTGTAATGTATCTTCGCATCGATACCTATGATACAAATAAATTGAGTGGGTCAGGTTGGGAAACCTGGTGAGTACATAGGGTTTTCAATCCCACAATGTTATATCATATATATATATATATATATATATATATATATATATATATATATATATATATATATATATTAGAACTCGCAATATATAATTTCACCTCGTATAAATTTTTTTACCCCACCCCGTCGATCCTCACAACGACACGATCCATACTCTCGGATCTAAAATTAACAGCTTTACCTAATCCATAATCCTAGATCAGGTATGTCTAATCCATGCTCTCGGATTAATGACAAATGACTATGCCCACTCCATACTCTTAGACTAGGTACGAATGACTATGTCTAATCCATGCTCTCGGATCAATGACAAATTTTAAAGTTCTACCATGTGTGTATATCTCACTCGTACTCATAAGAAGATACTACCCAATATTCATCTTAATTAATTTAGGGTTACTCTATATCCTACATCATCATATATTGTCAGATATGCTCTTAACACATATTTCAGGCAATATCAAATATTTCACACATTAACATATATTTAATACTTGTATTAAAATCATGTTCCTGAAAGGGACTATGAACTCACTTGTTAAAGTGACGACTCGAAATTCAGGCAGCGCTTCGCTTCTAGCAATTGTCTTTTCCGTCGACGTAACCTAGTATTATTATCACTAAGTTTTAGTCTAAAATTTTATTGCGAGTAAGTACTAGTCTAGATTTATCTTTAACTCAAAGTCTACTTTTATGATCTATTAAGTAAGGAACAACCAGGTAGGATCATATCGGAGGTAGGGTCTGGTTGGTATACGAAGTATACTGTTTGGAAATCCCACTTTAAACACCTCACTAAATCACAGCCTAGACATCATCCCTGTAAGTATATCAATCAGTATAACGACTTGGAATCACTGATAAATCTTATTTATAGGTTCATAATAACGATAATGAACTTAAACATAAGTTATACTTAAAGTAGGGTAAACATAACTCACTTACAAGGGGATTTAGCGAGGAACCGGGCTCTGTGCGAGTAGAACTTCTGAGCCGAAAGCTCTTCTTCTCGGGGCCTTCTGGCACTCTGGGACACGCTTCTAACACCTAGGAGGTGCTAGGGGAAAGGATAGAGGGTTTGGGGTGTTTGGGAGAGAATGGGTGAGAAAGGTGTGAGGAATGGAGTGATGTGTGCCTTCGATTTGTAGGCTGTGAAGATGACGGACGATGGGCATTCCCTAGCCTTAAGCTAGGCGTTCGTGGCCAAGTGTCACCATCTGGTGGCAAGCTGTGGGGAAGAAGGTGCGACCCAGATCGCGCCACGTGTCACTCGCTGGTTACTCCAAAAACTAATTATCTTCTAAAATCCGTAACCTTCACATACAAGCTCTATTTTTTACATTCTTTATATCCACACATAGGTAGCGATGTGATCTACAACTTTCGTTTAGACTCAGTTGGCTAATTTTGACTTTATTTTTGAAGTTATATTTTAACAGACTTAGACAATTAAAGTTCGTTAAATATTCATAACTTTGTCATCCGATGTCCGTTTTCGACTATCTTTGTATCATTGAGCTCCTATTAATGAGATCTTCAATTCTCTTTTAGGTTGTGTTGGCTAATAATTGATCGATCTAAAATTCGATTTATGGGCTGTATACTGCTATGCAAGATCTTAGAAAAATCATAACTTCCTCTAACGAAGTCAGATTTGGAAGTTCTCTATATGCACACACTCGGTTTAACGTATACTACAAATTTCATTTATATTTCTATCGATAAAAAGTAGTTTATCGAAAATTCACTTTTTACGATACTCGACGTCGTGCCGGTTTAGTCGCAAAACTTCGACGGGTCATAACTTCTTCGTTACAAGTCGGATTTCAGCGTTCTTTATACGTAGGTAATCCTTGTGACATATACTATAATTTGGTTAAGATTATTTATTCTAAATAATCTCCTATCTAAAGTCATTTTTAGCGCTTATTATCTCTAAATTGACTAGATCGAATCTGCAGGCGTTATAGTATGGGACAAGGTTTCACTCTTATGTCAAACCAACACAAGGTAAGAAAACATTTTATTACTTCTCTTTCACAAAGTATATTACCCAATTCATATCTAACTACTTGTATGTTGGTATAGGGTATTATGGAAGCTGTTAAGGAATTGCTACCCCAAACTGAGCATAGGCAACGTGTAAGGCACATTATGGCCAATTTCAGTAAAACGTTTCCAGGGGCAGAGTTTGTTAATTTGTTTTGGGCTGCATGTAATGCAACAACATAACAATATTTCAAGGAAATAATGAAGGATATTGAGCTTATGAGTCCAGAGGCAAGTAACTACTTAATGGAGAAGGACCCTAGAACATGGTTAAGAGCTTACTATCAAGTTGGTAGATGTTGTACTAGTGTGGAGAATAGAGGATGTGAAAGTTTCAATGTAGTTATAGTTGATGCCAGGAAGAAACCTATCATCACAATGCTTGAAGAATTGAGAATGCATATGATGAACACATTGTTCACAACAAAACTTAGTGGATGGTCAATGATGTTTCACCTGAAATAAGGCTGAGGTTGAATGAGTTAAAGGTTAATCAAAGGTTTTGGGAGGTACTGCCAAGTGGACTCAACCGGTTTGAGACTAGGTCAGGAAGTGAGGCATATGATGTTGATCTAGACAATAGAACTAGGGATGTGCTTCGGGCCGGAACCGACCCGAACCCGAATAACCCGAAACCCGAATTGGACGAAAAGTGGGAACCGAAACCCGGACCGATTATACTAATATGGATCGGTTCGGTTCGGGTAATACGGGTTTCGGTTCGGTTATTAACCCGAAAGGACCAAAATAACCCAAACAAACATTTACACTATGTTTTTGAACCGAATAACCCGAATAAACCGAAATGACCCTAATAACCCAAATAAGGAAATTCTATATTTAGTTCAAGAAAAAAAAATATTAAATTAATGTTTTTTTTCTTGAACTAAAAATAGAATTTCCTTATTTGGGTTATTCGGGCCATTTCGGTTTATTTGGGTTATTCGGGTCATTTCGGTTTATTCGGGTTATTCGGTTCAAGTGACTATTTACTTTCCGGGTCGGTCTTTTTGGCCCGATTAAACCTTTATTCGGGTAACCCGGACCGAAAAACCCGAAACCCGAATTGGGCAATAATAGATACCCGAGAACCGACCCAAATAACTTATTCGGTCCTAATTCGGGTCAGTCCGGTCCGGGTTTCGGTTTCGGTTCGGGTATTCGGTCCAAACGCACATCCCTAAATAGAACATGTTCATGCAAGATGTGGCGACTTAATGGTTATGGGTGTGTTCATTCTGTGGCTGCCATTAGCTACCTTAATAGAGATGTGGAAAAATACGTGGATCCTTATTTTGTAGAGAAATGTATATGAAGACCTACTAGTACAAAATTTGTCCAATGAATTGAAGCAAGATGTGACCTGAAACTAATTACATTCCACCTTTACCACCCAACAATAGAAGGATGCCTGGTAGGCCAAAAACAAAAAGAGTTAGATATATGAGTGAAAAGGGTGGAAAACATAGAGCTTCAAGGGTACGAAGATACCATGTAGTTTGTGCAAAGTGGAAGGACATAATAAGAAGACATGTCCAACTCTTGATAGGCCAAGACCAGGGAAGTTACCAACTAGGGTTAACAGGACTAAGACTACAAAGGTAATTACCACTTCATATTTCTTATATTTTTTATTCATTATTAAGTATGTGTCATTTAACTTATATATTATGTGAATATAACAGGCTCAAAATGTGGAGAAAATGACTACAGAAGTGACAAGTGGAAGTGGGATACGAATGGAAGGTAGGGATACACAAGGTATTAGGGTTAAGAGGACTAAGACAACAAAGGTAAATACAATTTCTTATTTATTATTTTCTTATTTGTTAATCAGTATGTGTCATTTAAGCGTATAATATGTGTGTATAATAGGGTCAAAATGTGAAGAAAAGGACTGCAAAAGTGGCAAGTGGAAGTAGGACAGGAATGGAAGGTGGGGATACACAAGGTACCAGTGAGAGTGGGACTACAAAAGTGACAAGGGAGAGGGGTAATGTTGTACTTCCCCATGTTAAGAGGAGGAAAAAGAATGAAAGGACCATCAAGAAAAAATTGGCAACCCAAGTTATAGGAAAGAATAGAGAGGGGAACATTTCAGAAAAACCTATCAACTTGAAGTAGTTTTTTGTATGTAAATGCTTTGTACTGGCATTTGTAGCAAAAACATGTTAGGATGTTTTCTTTTAAAGATTCTATGTCATAATGGTTATGTAATGCTTTGCACCGACTTTGGTTATTAATGTATTCTCTTGTGGGATTTATTGTCCTTTGTGTCCTTTTTTATGCATGTGCATTAGATGGTTCCTTGTTTCTTGTCCCTCCTGGAATTGTTAGGTGGACCATGCTACTTAAAAAATTGTTTGTAGACCATATAACAACTCATGCATGATATTATATAATTAGTGGACCATACAACTTGCATTATTTGGGGACCATATAACAATTCATGTAGTATACTATAAAGGAATCCATAAAGGAATGTTAAAACAGAAACATAAATCCAAACTTTCTATTATATAACTAGTCCATAAAAAAGGTGTTACATGACTATACATAATGGGGCTAAAGTACAATCCCAATACTAAATTGTCAAAAGGATCATCATTCCATATACCACTATTACACCATCAAACAACCTTATACACCCTGCATCACTTAACACAACTTTAACTTGATTGCCAAATACCTAATCACCCAAAAGAGCATTACCATATGCACCATGACCCCAAAACCACCTATATACCATGACCCAACATCCCACATCACCTAGAACAGCTTAAAGTACATGACCACAAACAACAAACAGACCAGAGCAATCAGAACAACCTTTTTCAACTTCTTCTTTGGACTTTAAATCTCAATGAGTGGTTCCTGGATCCTAGCCTCAACAAGTTCCTTCTTAGCTTTCCTAAGAAGCTTGTGCTTCTCAACCTTCTTCTGCAACTCAACAACTTGAGCATTCCTAACCAAGAGGTCGTTGATCCTAAGTTTCAAGTTCCATAATGTATCCCTGTAGTGTTTTGGTAATGCTGGGTCAAGCCACTAGAAGAAGTTGCAACTGTCGTTGGATATCTACAAAACAAACCCACATACCAGAAAAAGGGTTTACTCGTTGTAAATGGGGGGGGGGGGGGTTTGTCGATCGAAATGGGGGGCTTTTGTCGATCGAGTTTGTTTAGGTTGCTTGGATATCTACAAAACAAGCCACTGGAAGAAGTTGCAATTTAGGGTTTTCTCATTGTAAATGGGGGCTTTTTGTGGATCGAAATAGGGGTTTGCAGTAGAAAAATCACAACTTTAGGGGTAAAAGTTATCGAATGTAAACGAATGATAGCTTACCATTGATTTTGCGCAATTGTAGAAGCGACGGGCTAGGTTGTTAGGCTTCCAGGCTTCTCTGAGCTTCGACACAGGATGATCACGACACAAGCAGGTAGGATTGACTTCAACATGGTAAATGGCGACGGTGTTATAGGATTCTGAGGAGGAAGACATCATCAAAAGGGTTGGTGTTTGTCGGAGGTAAGGAATTTGTGAAAGTGGATCTATTGAACCCTTACGAAGCTTATGTAGTACGCTGACTAGACACCCAGTTGTATTCCATAGACCACGTCACATATGACTTTTGTTGACCAACTGGGTAACCGGTAATAAAATGAAGAAATCCTAATTTTAACATGTAATTTGTCACTTTAGTGAGGTCAGATGTACAAAAATTAGTTGAAGGATCTTTTAAAACCAAATGGAAAACATTCTTGTGCTTCTATGTCAATAAGCCTTCAAAATAATCTCCCTTTGATGGATTTGCATCATCTATATATAAAATACGAGGATATCCAAAACCTTTTGTGGAATTTAACATATCAAGGATTTCTCCTGGCCCGTGATTTGGATTTGCATTATTCACTGGAAGAGGAGTCAATGAAGTTGGAGAAGCAACTAATTCTTTTAGACACTTACTTTTCAAATCAATCTCTTTCTGATTTAAGGTGAGCTTCATAGCTTCAAGATCACTCTCAATTTTTTCTTTGTTACGAGCTTCAGCTTTTTCAATCTCTTTAGCTTTATTGTTAGCTTCTAAGCCACTTTGTGAGGATGATCCTTCACCAGAAATAAGAGCTTTTTCCAAATTTTTCTGAAAAAAGGGATGGGACACATTAACAGCTAGTTTTGTTAAACTAGATTGAGTTGGTTTAGGTTGCGAGGATCCCACTTCTCTCCCTTGGTGTGAAGAATTTTGTCACACCCCCAAACCGGAACGACGGAAACGTGCGGGGGCGGATGACATCGTGTACAGTATCATAACAATTGTATAATAATAATCAAAGCAAACACAACCATTGTATTGATAACATATAATTTACATTGTGTTCAAAACATTGTTTGTTTAACATCAACATTAACAAAAGTTAAGACGTGATGCTACTATGCTCCGTCTTCGTGACACCAGTGAGGGTACCTGTCTACTAATTTCCTGAGAATACAAGTGATTTTGAAAGTGTATCAACATTTAAGTTGGTGAGTTCATAAGCATTTCGTATATAAAATTATGTTCTTTGTTCCTTGAAAACGTAAGTGTGTTCGTCCAGAAAATCCTACATTTTCTGTTGTAAATGTATCGTAGTCTTAATACCTTAAGACCAAAATGTATAAGTTTCTTGTTCTGATAATCTGTAATTCGAAGTTCTAATTCATGTACATGATATGACCCATACTGTTTCCCCCCTATGATCACTTAGAGCATACAAGTTATATATAATCAAGACCGAACGCACATTCGAATGAGTGGATCTGCCCTAATCCCACAACCAAACAAGGAACAGGAAATAAGGCGAAAATCACACGTTTGAATGCCTATCGGATCCTCATTTTATATAACCATAATGTATACGCTAAGTCATCATAGAGTAAACTATAATAGCCCTTTCAGAAATGTAAGTTGCACTGTACTTGGAAAATAGTATATTGTAGTTGTACTAGTATGTAATCCCTTTTAAACATATGTTTCTAGAAATGTATCCCTTGTTGTACTGAGAAATCGTGTAATGTAGTTTTATTGTTATGTAAAACTATTTGAAAGTATGTTTGTCCCATAAATCAGATGTAAAGTTAATGTTCAATGAAACTGTCTGAAAATATATTACTCCATAAATGGGTCGTTTTTTTCTCAATGTGAGTTCTTATAACCATACTGTGACCTAAGATGGCTTGAACACGATGTTCTTCAGGCGTCAGAAACGTTAACGACATTTGTCACCTCAGGCGTCAGAAACGTTAACGACATTTGTCACCCCAGGCCTGCCGGCCTAACTGTAGCTGACAGTTGAGGTGCGGGATTGTCATTCCTGAATAGATCTATACACAAATGTAACAACCAAAAATTTCCAACCAATTTAAACTTTTCAAAAACAACACAAATCCATTAATTATTACAAAAAGGTTTTCACTTAGTTTATTATCAGAGTATCCCAGAAACATCAGCATAAAAATGAGGAGCGGTACGATCACGCCTTCGCCTTGCCACGATCTCCTGAAGTACCTGAAACAATACACTGAAACTGTAAGCCCGGAAGCTTAGTGAGTTACCCCCAAAATACCAACCACATAACCATACACATATCAAATCATATCATAATACAGAACAACCATGCATATCGAGTCTACAGTGTGACTGGTCTGCCCGCACCGGGCCTTCAGTCCACCTGGTCCACTCTCTGAATCTACAGTATGACTGGTCCGCCCGCACCGGGCCTTCATTCGGTCTGGTCCACTCCCCGAGCCTCGGCACGTCTGGACCGCCCTCCTGGGGCCTTCAGCCTATCCGGACCGCTCGCTGGGCCTACGGTCTATCAGGTCCGCCCTGGGTATGTTGGCCTACAACACAAAGCAGGACCCGCCTCAACCCAACCTCAGTCAAACCACCATGTGCACATAAAATAGTCAATCACATAATAATCCCTAGACAAACCGATCTATCAGATCAAACAGCATAACATCATCCTAACCAGGATACCGACCTAACCGGTCACTAGCATAACATTACCCTATATACTAGGATACCGACCTTAACCAGGTCACTAACATAACATTACCCTATATACCAGGATACCGACCTCAACCAGGTCACTAACATAATACCATCCTAATTACCAGGATGCAGACATACCAAATCAATACATATCAAACAAATACCCGGATTCCCATCCGATAAAGGGTCGGCCTTGGTGCCTTAGACCCTGTTGATATAGTGAGGATAACTCACCTGCAATTGCCGACTGAAGAGATAAGACCAAGCTGCTCCGACCACCGACACGAACTTCACCACAGAACACTACCAAAGAACCAATTCCATAAATACCAATATTACCAAAATACCCTCGGAAGTCAAACTGGTCAACTCTTGGTCAAAGTCAAAGTCCTCATTCAAAGTCAACCTTCCTGGTTGATCCTTCTCGCCGAGTCAGCCTAGTGACTCGCCGATTTCCTGCACTAAGAATCCCATCATTCCCGACTCAACTCGCCGAGTCACCCCATGACTCGTCGAGTCCTTCCATCCGAGTCTTATCCTGTCCAACTCACTGAGTCCACTCGACTCACTGATCCGCATCACAACCTGATGAGTTAGGGTTTGTGACCCAACTCGTCGAGTCCAAGAACAGACTCGCCGAGTCCATTCATGACATCCCTATTCAGAAGATTCCAGGCCATTTCACTGCTTCCAACTCATAGATCTGGACTTCTAGGGCTGGATTCACACGTAAAGTTTCCAACTTTACGTGCATGCAAGGCACAATGGGCTCCAAACAAGCTAGAAGAAGGTTTTAAGACAAGGATACTCTCCATCAAGCCCCATGGACGATGCTTTATGCTTTCATAGCTCAAAACTAACCTAGATCTGAAGTTGCAACCTCAGATCTAGCCTCTAAACCCGAAATGGATCTCAAACAAGCTAAGGAACTCCAAATCAACCACCAAGGATGAATAAAAAAGGAAATAGCTTAAGATAATGGCTTCTTACCTCTGAGATGTGCCCAAACTGATGTAGATCCCAGATCTACACAAGCCCCTTGATGCTAGCCTCTAATTCCTCAAGCTCCTTACACCAAATTCCTCTTCCAAGC